GATCAAATGAGTGAATGAATAAAGGTGCAAATGTATAGTGAGCGAATAAATGAATCAAATAATCACGAATGAGTGAATAAACAAAGAAAAAGGAATAAATGCATGAGTTTCTTCCTAGAGAAGCACCACCAGCCTGCAATGGGTCATGTGCTCAGCACATCCGCCCACCAGTTCTGGGGAGTGGGCAGTACTGACCCGCCAGCAGTCAGGGGATTGGTTCCAGGATGGAGATGCATCTCATATTGACCAATGAGAGTCACTGCTGGGTGCCTGAGAATCCCTTCTCACAGGATTCTGTCCACCCTCAGGGTTATGGGGTGTGCCATGGAGAAGGGGACAAGAATAGCCCTGTTATTCTAGGATCAGAGCCCCTTCCTGGGGAGACAGAGCGACAGATTCCAGAAAGCCACAGGAGCCCAGACCGCAGACCCCAATCCTCCTCAAAGACTCCCAGCCCTACATCCTTTTAAAGACGTCCTCCTTGGCGGGCAGGCGTCTAGTTTATCCCCAACCCCCCATTAGCCTACCAAGCAACAAATACAGGCTGAAATGACCCCACAAGCCCCTGTCCTCACCCTCAGTGCCCCTACCACTGAGAGAAGAGGCCAGCCCACAGTGGACAAGGAGAGCTCGGCTGAGAGGTCAGCTCAGAGCAGCCTAGGCTCGCTTAGCACAGATGTCCCTTACAAGACCTCATCCAGCGGTCTCGGGACACGTTAGATTAGCTCTTGGTGACCTGTCTGGGCAAATGGTGCTTCGCCTAGCACTACACAGCCAGTGCTTCCTGAGAAGGAACCAGAACAAACTCGGGTTCTAAAAATACCCTCTGAGCAGAACTTTGTTAAGCTGGGCACCAGGATGTCATGTGGCAGGATAACGGTGGTAGCTCACCAGATGTTGTTCTTATGTGCTGTTGAGTTGCCCGCAACTCATAACAACTCTATGCCCAACAGCTCTGAAGCCTGTCTTATCTTGAGCCAGTCTCACTGATTCCAACACTCCTAATGCCATTGCCCCAATTACTGTATCAAGCCATCCCATCTAAGGTCTTCCTCTCCTGTACTGTCCCTCCACCCTTTCAAGCATGATGTCCTTCTCTAAGGACTGGTCCCTCCTGGCCATGTGCCCAAAGTATGTCAGATGGAACTTCAAAATCCTAGCTTCCAAGGAGCAAACTCGTTCCACCCTCTCTAAGACAGACCTATTTGTTCTCCTGGCAGTCCATGGTATGTTCAAGACTTCACCAGCACCACAGCTCAAAGACATTGATTCTTCTTTCTGTCTTCCTTAGTCATTGTCCATCTCTCTGACACATTAAAACTGGGCTCCCTGGGACTTCCAGTGGCTAATTTTTCAGAAGCCAATAGCCAGGTCTTTCTTCCAAGGTGCTTCTGGGTGAGTTCAAGCATTCAGAGTTGTATTACAGTGGGGCACGTGATCATGTGCCCCTCTATGGATCCCTGGACTGGCACAGCCCAGACCTCTGCAGGGCAACACTGTTCCCCAGTCGGATGCCCAGCCTTCTGGATAGAAACTTCAGCTCCCTTTCTGAAATGGCAAGCCTGACTTCCTACCCCACCTACCACTCTCCTCCCCAAGCTCTGAGCGTTCACAGGGCCCTAGACTCACCAAAGCAACGGTGCCCGCTGCCAGAGAGGATGAAGCCGGCCGGGCAAAGGCACTGGAAGCTTCCAGGACTATTGGTGCAGGTGCCAAAGAGGCAGAGGTTGGGTTCCTCTGAGCACTCGTCGATGTCTGGAGGGGTAGGGATGGAAGCTGGGTGGGACCCGAGGGCTCCAGTCTGGGGGACCCAGGGGTTGGAGCTGGGCAGGGGTCTCAAGAGCCAGAGCACCAGGTGGGCAGTGCCTGTGGGCTTTCCTAGAAAGTGGCTCTGGGGACTGGGACTATGATCAGGGAAATGCCTCTCTGAAGACCAGAATTTCACCAAGGTAACCGTGATTGGATAAACACAACCTGCAGTGGACGAGGCCAGCTCAGACTGTGTGAGGCTTGCCTGGGGCGATGACCAGACCAGAGCAGGGAAGAACAGAGCAGACTAGACTGCCCGGATGGAAGAAGTCTGACTCATGAGATCAGTCTTAACAACTCCTCTTCCTTCTACTCATCGTGGTTGGATTAGAACCGACCTATAGCTCAGCCTCCAATAGGTTTTTGGAGGCTGTACAATGCACAGAAGATTACCTATCTTTTTCCCATGGAGCATCTGGTGGGTTTGAACTGCCTGCCTTTGGGTTAGCAGTGCAACTTCTTACCCATTAGGCCACCAGAGCTCCCTCCATAGCCCAGGTGAAAGGCTGGACCAGAGGAAGTAAAGGCTGACCACAGCAGGCTACCTCCATGGGGCTAACAAAAATGGAAGACTGGACCAGAGGAGGTCAGGTCACACAGCGCTGGCCTGGGTTGTTCAAGGCTAGCCAGATGGAACACTGCAAGGGCTAGAGAAAGTCAAGCCACCCCAGGCTAGGTTAGCCCAGACTGTATGAGGCTAGCTCAGTGGGATTACCCAGAGGAGTGCAGGTCCAGGCTAGCCCAGATCAATAAATATGGCAAATGACATCAAGTCAATTAGCTCTAACCTGGTCTGTCCAAGGCTAGCCCCGATGGAAGTCTGTGACAGAGAACAAGCCACACTGGTCCAGATTAGCCCACATTCTATGAGATGCAGTTAAATTAGCCTAAACTGAAGACTGGCCCAGACTGGCCTGGTGGGTCACAAGGTCAGCTCAGGAGATGGGGTGCTCAAGGACCTGCTGCTGGGTGGGGGTCTGTCAATTCAGTGTGACCCTTCTCTGGTCAGTCAGGCCAATCTGCAGCCAGGATCCTGGCAGGGCAGTGACACTAGTGTCTCTCCACCATCTCCCAGGCACAACCCATAACCTGTTCACGAGAGGAGCTCAAAAACTGAGAAGAAAGGGGTTGGTTTGCTCTCGACAGGTGTTTCCTAAAGTCCCCAGTCTCTGAGTGGCTCCTTTGTCCCTCCTGTGACAAGTGACCACACAAGGACTGAGCAGGTCACATGTACTGGCTCCTGCTGGGCTGTACTACTTCACTCTGATACGTGTCAGCACCAACCTGCTATGAGCTTCCCCACTGGACAGATGAGTAAACTGAGGCTTAGACTGGACCCCAAGGTCACACCGCTGGGAGGGATGCCCCTCTTAACCGCATGACTCAAGAGCTCAGTCACCAGTGGCAGAGTGGAGTTCTACATTTGGGGGGCTTGGAGGTACGGTGAGACCCCACGCTCTTGGGTAGGATGCAAGCAGACCTCTGTGACCTTGGAGGGAGCACTGCTCTGGGGGTTGCAATGTAAATCATAATGGTAATAATAGCATATGGAGCTATGTCTAATGCTGTGCTAAGTGCATCTCCAACCTCTCCAGGACCTAGCTAGTATTCCCATTTTACAGATAGGAAAATAGAGGCCCAGAAGCACCTTCCTGGAACTAGACACTCACCGATGCAGTGGTCTCTCTGCACCTGAAAACCAGGGGGGCAGATGCAGCGGAAAGAGCCCTCAAGGTTCTGACAAGTTCCTGGCAGGCAGGTTCCCACCAGGCTGTGACACTCATTGACATCTGTGGAAAATGAAGGGGTCCTAGCATCAGCTAGGGGCAGGGGGCTTTCAAACTGGGATCAGCACATGCAAACACTGCATAACAACTGAGGGCCCTAGGACAAGTCCTCCTGGTGGCATCTCTGACTCCAGGGGAAGGGCCAAACGCCAGAAGAATACGGACAGCTGGAGAAAAGTTCTCTGGACCCAGGTAGGATTTACGGATGGAGACATGTGGTGTTCAGGGGAAAATCTTAATCTCAAGGCAATGATAGACCCTTTCCCAATTTCTTCCTATCTGCTTGTTGTTTGTTGTTGAGCACTGTCAAGTCAGAAGTAACCCATCGCTGACCCTCCAGTGAGTTTCCAGAGGCAGTAAATCACACGGCAGGAGATTGTTCATCTTTCTCCCACAGAGCAGCTGGTAGATTTGAATCATGTACCTTTGGGTTACTAGCACAACTCCTTCACTCCAAAAGCCATGATATTTTAAAGATAGTCTTACCCTAAACCACAAAATCCCTAGAAACATGGGTTTGGTGTGCTAACTTGATGTCTTCTTCTTACATTTTCCAATAAATGCATGGTTCTCTGGACCGCATTCGGCCCTAAGTCCACCTGGAACAGGGACCAGGAGGCATGGCTCCCAGCACAATGCAGACTCACCCATGCAGTTCCTCCCATCTGCTGTAAGCTCAAAGCCATCCTGGCAGAGGCAGAGGAAGGATCCAGCTGTGTTGAGGCACTGTCCAAATTGGCACACCTGCCCCACCAGGGTGGTGCACTCATCCACATCTGCAGAAGGGGAGAAAGGCAGCCCAAGGTTACCTTCAGAGACCAAACACTCATGTGCCAGGCTCTGCACATTGTCTCATTTAACCTTCCAAGTAGATCTTAGTGTTTTCTAATATAAGCATTGGATACTATGAATTTGCCTCTAAGTACTCCTTTAGCTGCTCCCCACAAATTTTCCCATATTGTGTCTTAATTTTCATTCATGAAAATATTTTCTAGTTTTTTTTAAATGAAGTTCTTCATTCTCTGTGGGCTATTTAGAAAGGTATTGTTTTATTTCCAGGGTCCTGGTGCAAAAAGTTAATATACTTGGTGGCTAACAAAAAGTTTGGAAGTTCTAGTCCCTCCAGAGGTACCTCAGAAGAAAGTCATGGCCATCTACTTTCAAAAGAGCAGATGCTGAAAGTCTTGTGGATCACAGTTCTACTCTGACACACACAGGGTCATTAAGAGCTGGAGACTAGTGAATTTTCTTTAAATTCCAAATAGTAGAGAATCTTCCTGGGCACTCTCCTATTTAATCCTTTTAAATTTGTTAAGATCAGTTTTCTGACTTGAAATATGCTCTTTATTGGGGAATATCTATGCTCTTGTGTCAAGAATATATTTTTTCAAAACAACTATGAGATATCATCTCACCCCAGTCAGAATAGCAAAATTTAACAGAACAGCAAACAACAAATGCTGGCAAGGTGTGGAGAAACTGGAACTTATTCACTGTTGGTGGGCATGTAAAATGGTGCAACCACTGTGGAAGAAAGAATGGCGCTTTCTCAAAAAGTTGCAAATAGAGATACCATTTGACCCAGCAGTTCCACTACTGGGAGTATACCCCAAAGAGACCATAACTGCCATCCAAGCAGATATATGCACACTCATGTTTATTGCAGCTTTGTTCACAATAGCAAGGAGTTGGAAACAACCTACATGCCCATCAACAAACAAACGGATAGAGAAGCTGTGGTATATTCACACAATGGAATGCTGCATTGAAAAACAAGGAACTCAAACAATATTATTCAAAATGGGTGACCCTGGAGGACATTATGCTGAGTGAAGTATCTCAGTCACAAAGGGACAAATACTGCATGGTGCCACTGTTGTAAAACAGGATTGACCTCGGGGTTGGAGGGAGACTGAGAAAGATGGGTTCAATAATGAATACTGCATTGAAACAGATGAGGGAGAAAACAATTTAAAAGGGATATGTGAGTAGGTATTTTTGTCATGACAGGAGTCCAGAGTGAAGGTTGCATAGTGGAGTGGACCTGGGGGGAGGGATTGTAAAACAATGAAAGAATTTTTCTTTTACTTTTCCAAGAGGGTAATGTACTTGGGGGAAGGGTTGGGAGGGGAGAAAAAGTGTAACAATAAATGAATGGCAATCCAAAGTCTCTGTAATTTTTCATTGAAATTAATAATAATTTTTTTAAAAAAAGATTATGTTTTCTGCTTTTTTGGGGGTAGACCGTTCCACAATTATCAACAGAGTGTGGGTAGTTAAAAATATTTAGAGCTTCTATATCCTTACTGAAACTTTTTCTACATATTCCTTCAAGACAAGAATGTTAAAGACTCCAGCTGTAATTGTGACTCTTTCTACTCTAGCATTAATTCTGTTAGTTTCTGCTTCACTTGCTGTTTTTTGTTTTGTTTTGTTTTCTTGTTGTATACCAAGTCAGATCTGACCGGCAGAGGAGAAGATTGCCTCTTTCTCCAGCAGAGTATCTGGTGGATTTGAACGACGCGTCTTTGGGATTGCAGCACAGCTTCTTGCCACTAGGCCACCAGAGCTCCCTTGCTTCATTTGTTTTGAATTTGTTATTCATTTCTTAGATGGACATGTATTGGTGATTGTTATGTTTTCTTGGAAAACTTTCTCCTTAATCATTATTTAATGTTTCTCTTCACTTCTGGGAGTATTCCTTGCTAAGAAGTCTACTTGATCTCCTAGCCCCCAACTCCTGGAGGGCCCACGTACAATGGGATCAAATGCTGTCTGATCTGGCATCATGTCCATGGCTAGCTGGACCTCAGAATGACCCATGACTGCTGTATTTTGTTTTGCTTCATGCGGATTTATAGAAGTTGCCCACCAGGCTTTTCTCCCTAATCTCTCTGAATCTGGAAGCTCTGCATTACAGGCTACCATTGGCAGATAGGATACCTGTGTGTGAGGTGTGTCTCCCTCCTTTAGGTTCCTGAGGTTGCAAATATTTTTTTTAATTTTTATTTTATTATTTTTGTGTGAGTGTACCGTCAAATCAGATCTGACTGGTACAGGAGGAGATTGTCCCTCCTTCCCCGACAGAGCATCTGGTGGATTCGAACCGTGCGCCTCTGGGATTGTAGTTGCAGCTCCTTACCACTAGGCGAGGTT